GCTTGAGCCCAGGAGTTTGAGGTTGCTGTGAGCTAGGCTGACGCCATGGCACTCACTCTAGTCCGGGAAAAAGAGTGAGACTCTGTCTCAAAAAAAAAAAGATGTTTCTAGAAAATTATTGCCCTTTTCATTGGCCAGAGGAGATAAATTGTCTAAGAGATGCCATCTAAAAGACAGGGATGTTGTATGGTAAAAGTACTTCCATTTTGCCTGTCCCTCCTCCCTTCAAAGTAACAAGGAAAATGGGACCAGGTCACACCCAGAAAGGGAGCATCATATACCGTTGAGAACAATGCCATTCTAGACTGTAAGTAGGGCATGGTGAGACCATAACCAGGGCATGCCTGAGGCCAGCTCCACAGGAACAGCAAGCAAATGTCAAATCCAGACTGAGGATGTGGACACAGTCCTGGGGGGAAGTGCAGGTGTCCACAGGTACAGGCCACCATCAGTCTGGAAGGCAGGAGTCAGTTACGAGGTGCCAAGCCACGCAGTCATGCCAAGAGGTAAGAGAACACATGGGCTGTGCCAAGCAAGGAAGCCAGGGCCAGCACCTGGTAGAGGAAGAAGTGTCAGGAAGACATGGGAATATTCAGGGTGAAGCAAATTGGTACTAGCATATGGTGACATAAAGGCCAAGGCTGCTTTACAGGGCCAAGTTCTTGCCTTTCTGGCTTTGCTGTGAGCTGCCTTAAAAGCACTGCTCAGTATAGAGTGGAAAGAACCTCATTTGCTGTAAGGAGATTTCCATGAACTCACTGCCTATAGGTCCCATGGGACTGAGAGATTTGACTTACTTCATATTAGGACCTGTAAGTTCCATCTTGTGATTAATGGGATTGGCAAGGAGGGAAAAATCAGACCAGAGCATATATTTACATTTACAAAGAGGTACTTTGGGCTAGTAGTTGAGAGTAGGTATAGACATAGATTTTGAGTTTCACTGGCATATGATCCATTAGAATGGAAAACTTACCTTCGCGTCAGGTTTTAAGAGAACAGTATCCTAAGAAATTTACAGCAAGGATTTAGAAAAAAATTGATGGGCTATCCTAATATCTTTTACGACAGGATGACCAGCTAACTAGATTAAAGCAAAGTCCTGAGGCAGGGCCAGCCTTATATAGGGAAGGCTCTGGCAGTTGCCCGTGGGCAGAGTTTGCCCATTGCTGGCTTCCCCATTGGTTCTGCCAAACAGACCTGTGTTCCTTGCTCTTTGATTGCAGGTGCTGGAATGTGGCTGTTAAGACAAGAGTAACTTGGGAGGCAATTACATTATCTCCTTATTTTGTTGATTCCTTCCATAATTCTATATTGTTATGAACTATCTTGAATTAGTTGATTGGAGAAGCCCTAATCTCGAGTGGGGCTCTTTGAAAGCTGAGGATACGTTTTAATAAGGGGTAGATAAAGTGTAGACTGGACTGGAGCCATGTCTGAGCAGAGCACCCCAGTTGCTGGAGACCCTGGATGGTCAAAAAGTAGCTGTGGGTAATGGGTGCCCAAGTGTGTTTTAAAGATAATGGGGACAGGGAGTAACTTACTTTTATGTTTTCCTTTGCCTTCCTTTCCACGGCCTTTGATAGGTTCAATTTAGCCTTCGCTAGCTCAGCTGGTGCACATTTGAATCTCCCAGGGAACTGTTGAAGTTGCATCCCAAGAAAATTAAATAA